CTTGTCCAGCTGGGACACCACCTCCCACAGCAGGGCGTGCAGCACCGACAGCTACACACACATTCACATACACACACCTACACACACACTCCCACACCCCTACACACCTACAGCTACAAACCCACACACCCACACCCACCCACACACACTCACACACCTACACACACACACCCCCCCCTCACCTTGTCCAGCTGGGACACCACCTCCCACAGCAGGGCGTGCAGCACCGACAGCTACACACACATTCACACACACACACCTACACACACACACACACCTACACACACATTCACACACCTACACACACACCCCCCCCCTCACCTTGTCCAGCTGGGACACCACCTCCCACAGCAGGGCGTGCAGCACCGACAGCTCGCGGCCCAGGTCGATGTAGCCCTCGAAGCCCGGCGTGTTGGACAGAGTCTCCGGGTTGGAGATCTCCGACAGGAAACGCATCATCCCGGCCCACTCGTGCTCCAGGAAGTCGTTCATGAAGGCCATGTACTCCTCCTTGTTCCCGAACCTGCTGAGGAGGCCGGCGTCAGTCTGCGGACAGACGGCCGGACCCGACCGACCGGGAAGAATCGGCTCTAGAGACTCACTTGGTGAAGTTGGCGAGGTTCTGGATGACCTTGGCGATGAGCGTGAGCGTCCTGGAGGTCCGGTCGTCGGGATACTCCTGCATCAGGTTGAAGAGCGACGGCGACATGATGGCGGGGCAGAGGAAGCGCAGGAAGAGCGAGGCGCTGATCAGACGCTTGCTGATGTCATGAGGATGGCCGCGGGCGACGCACTGCTGCTTCCACGACGCAAACACTTCCTTCAGCTCCCGGGGGAAAACGCTGCAACACAGCGGGTCGGAACCGACCGGGTCACATGAGCCCACAGAGGTGCCATTGGTTCTACTGGTTCTACAGGGTCTACTGGGTCTACAGGTTCTATTGGATCTACTGGGTCTATAGGTTCTACTGGGTCTACAGGTTCTACTGGGTCTACAGGTTCTACTGGGTCTATAGGTTCTACAGAGTCTACTGGGTCTACAGGTTCTACTGGGTCTATAGGTGCTATTGGTTCTACAGGTTCTACAGGGTCTACTGGGTCTATAGGTTCTACAGGTTCTACAGGGTCTACTGGGTCTACAGGTTCTACTGGGTCTATAGGTGCTATTGGTTCTACAGGTTCTACAGGGTCTACTGGGTCTATAGGTTCTACAGGTTCTACAGGGTCTACAGGGTCTACTGGGTCTACAGGTTCTATTGAGTCTACAGGTTCTATTGGGTCTATAGGTTCTATTGGTTCTACTGGTTCTATTGGGTCTACTGGGTCTACAGGTTCTATTGGTTCTACTGGTTCTATTGGGTCTACTGGGTCTACTGGTTCTACAGGTTCTACAGGTTCTACTGGGTCTATAGGTTCTATTGGGTCTATAGGTTCTATTGGGTCTACTGGGTCTATAGGTTCTATTGGGTCTACTGGGTCTATAGGTTCTACAGGGTCTATTGGTTCTACAGGGTCTACAGGTTCTATTGGGTCTATAGGTTCTACAGGGTCTACTGGGTCTACAGGTTCTACAGGTTCTACTGGGTCTACTGGTTCTACAGGGTCTACTGGGTCTACAGGTTCTACTGGTTCTGGTCCAACTCAGCGCTGCAGTACCGAGTCCAATACTAAAACCAAGTCAACTGAAGGACCAGCTGGGCTGCAAATAATTATTTTAGTTAATTACTGATCAAGAATCGTCACTTTATGAAAGTTACAGAAACATTAAATTCATAAACAGGAGAAACTAAAACTGGAAAAAGTCGTTTGTTCAGTTTTAGTTTCATTATTGCTCCAGCAAATGGAGTCGCTATGACGACTAATCAATTAATATTGATTAGTCGATCATTTCAATAATCATGAGCCCTCAAGTCCTCCAGAACCTCCAGAGCCTCCAGAACCTCCAGAGCCTCCAGAACCTCCAGAGCCTCCAGAACCTGCGGGTCGGCGCCGGCTCACCAGTAGGAGTTGATGATCTTGCAGAAGGCGAGCTCGCAGCACATCTTCAGGTTGCTCTGATGCTCCGACAGGTCGCTGCCGGAACATCGGCTCGGGTCCACCTCACAGTTCTCGTCCGACTCGTACAGAGCCTTGATGAACTCCCCTGGAGAAACACAGAACCCGTCAGAACCGGCCCGATCCGGACCAGCAGAACCATCCGACCGGTTCTACGTCTGGAAGAGCGGCAAGGCTGGGATTTTACAACTTTAACGGGCCGCCCAGTGAGCCGGAACCGACCCGACCCGCTGGGGGAGTTAATATTTAATAACCACAGCTGAAAATAAACCAGGAGCGCCGAGCCGCTGCGGCAGTCGAGCCCAGCAGAACCAGACCCGAAGCGGGTCCATGTTAGTGGCAGGACCGCACAGCAGGAGGGAGGAGCCGCATTAGGCTGGCGATCGGACCCGGCCGGACTCACCCAGGGCGTCGTGGAGGTACTTCTGTCCCACCAGCTTCAGGTACTCCTCGATGGCCTTGGTGGCCAGCGTGTTCTCCCTGAAGATCAGGACGTCGTGGTCGGCGCAGCGGTCCACCTCTGACATCACCAGGTCGGTCAGGAAGTCCTGAACAGACATGAAGGTCACTGACCTGATGACGACTGGACCTCGGCCTGAGGAACCAGAACCAGACGGGTTCTGAACATCTGGATCTAGCAGCAGAACCTGGCGTTCCTCAGGGATCGGTCCTCAGGTCATAAAAGTTCATATCAGAAATAAATCTTCAGAATTTCTCAAAATCACAAAAAAGCAAAATTAAAGCCATAATTAGTCCTTATTATTGATTCCATTTCAGCTCTAAAAGTCGATAAAAGTAGTTAAAACTTTAACATTCAGATTTTAAATGTTTCATATTTAAACTCTAAATCTTTTTAGAAGTTTTTCTGACTTGCATTGTTGGTAAATAAATATTTATGTATCAGACTTTGACTCTGCAGCTTAAAAACTCACTAAATGATTAAAGTTCAGCTTCGCACAGTAACTGTTTCATCTGGAATCAGTTTCATGTGTTCATCCCACCAGTGATCCACTCCAGAGGATCTGAACTGGAACTTTAATAATAAAGTAAACTGGATCTGACCAGCAGGGGGCGCCAGACCTGCAGCCTCAGCTCGGAACAGGAAGCCCGAAGTGAAATGAAGGAAGTGATTCTTCCCACCCAGATGTTTGCCTCCATGTTTATCTGACCTGAGTGGAGCGGCGGCAGAGTGAGGTGCTGGTTCTGACCTTGGCCCGGCCCGTGCTCTGCAGGATGTGCACCAGGGCGCACGCCATCTCCTCCTTGTTGCGGACGCTGATGACGGGCTCCAGCACGGAGCACAGCATGCCGTAGTTGTTGGTGACGAACTCGGCGAACTCCTTGTACTGCTCCATGGGCAGGATGGAGATGGTCTGGAAGCGGGACTTGATCCGGATGGACGGGCCGCCGCCCTTGGCCTTGCTGGCGGTCGGCGTGCTGACCGGGTACCACTTCTCCACGAACTGCCGGCCCGTCACGCCGGCCACCGGGATGTTCACCAGGCCCACGTAGTTGTTCTTGTCCTTCTTCTTCTTCTTGTCGCCGTCGCGGTAGATGTGCACGGTGATGCTGCGCACGGCGGGCAGGCTGCAGAAGTCGAAGTGCTCGCCCCAGAACAGGCTGTCCAGCCGGGCCTTGCTGGTGGTCCGGGCGTACAGGACGTCGTCCAGGCACAGCTCGCAGAAGTACCGCTTCTTCGGCGCCAGGTCTTTGGCCTCGATGATCCACAGGCGCAGCAGGTTCTCCGCCCGCCGGCAGTTGTCCTGGAAACGAGCAAGAACCCGTTCAAACCGACAGAACCAGAACTTTACAGAAGGTTCTGCACCGGACCAGACAGGTACAACCAACCAGAACCAACCAGAACCAGGGCTGGGAGATGCAGCCAATAATTATTCTATTTCAGATCTGATTTCTAGTTATATTTTCAGAAAGTGGATTTTATTTCAATCTTCCCTCCTGGGAGAATTATTAGTTATAATAAAATCAGAATTTTAACTTTCTGATCACCTGAAATAAGACGAGATTAGCAAGTAATAATTCATCAATACGAGTTATAGAGAAAGTCGACAAACAATACCTGGTAAAACTTTAATGAGTTATGAGGATCTGCTTCCTTCATCAGCACAGAAATGTTTAAAGTCCTGATGGTGATGATAATAATTTAATATTCATGATAAAAGATAAAAATGTTTTTTTATCCCGACATTAAAGTTTAACTTCACAAGTTGCTCCTGTTTGATTTGGTTGTTTTTCATGTTTAATGTTTATTTTAATAATTATTCCAACATGAAAAATAAAATATTATAAATAAAACACATAATAAATATTTCATCCCAATATTACGACTTTATTCTGGTGATGAATGTTTTAACAGCCTGGCTCTAACGCCGGTCAGAGCTGCTGGTTCTGGTGGAGCCGGTACCGGGTCCAGAACCGGGCCGGGTCTCACCTTGTTGGGCTGGACGGTTCTCCTCAGGTTCTCCATCCACTTGTCTCGCTCCGAGGCCGAAGTGCAGCTGAAGCACTTGCTGCCTCCGGCGTAGGTCACCTGGGGGCGAGAGGGGAGGTGAGCGACCCGGCAGGCCGGAACCGGGCCGGGACCGGGCCGGGACCGGGCCGGGTCTCACCTCGAAGCAGAACTCCTGGCCCAGGACGCTGCTGTGCAGAGGCTTGATGAAGACGTCGTCCTCCATGCTGAGGTCCAGAGCCTCGGCGGCGCCGCTGGGGCTCAGCAAGGACTCATGGGAAACCGCCTCCTTCAGCCGGGGCAGCCCGCGGGCCCTGCAGCAGAACCGGGTCAGAACCAGGGAGGAAAAGGATCTTGATTGCTGAGGTGGGTTCTGTTTCAGGGTCGGTCCAACAGAACCAGAACCAGTTACAGAACCTTTCCTTGTTCGGATTTCTGCAGCTGAGTTTCAGCTGGTTCTGGTCCGGTCGGAGGCGATCAGAACCACAGCCAGAACTTCATGGGTTCTGCAGATCCAACCCACATGTTCTGGTTCCGGTTCTGATCCGACAGAACCTCACACTGTGAGTAAAACCCAAGCAGCGGTTCACTGAGACGACACCAGGTTCAGTATCTTACAGCTGAACAAACCTACAACTGCTGATCACAACCAGAACCAGAACCAGAACCTGTCTGCGTCGTCAATGAGTTAATTCCCAGACAGAGCAGTGGTTCTGGTTCTGGTCGGGTTGTGAGCGGTACCTGTCGGGCTCGGCGGGCCGCAGCGACGGCAGTCTGAAGCTGGTGTTCCGGTCCAGTTTGGTCTGGCTCTTGGTTCTCTTGATGGAGCCTTTCAGACGTTTGCTGAAGAAGTTCTGAAAGAGAAGCAGAACCCGGTCAGGCCGAGGCGATGACCTCTGACCCCCAGCTGTCCCGAGTAGGGAATCTTTTCCTACCACTCAACTTTCCCCGAGTCTGCTCTGTGACGCCCAGCTGCTTCAACCAGTCAGAACCGGGTCACCTGGTTCTGCTGCTGACCGGATCAGAACCTTTCAACCTGCAGCTCATCTGTCACTACAGATGCTGAGCGCAGAAGAGCGGCCTCGTTTCCTGAGATGTTACTGTCCTCAAACGCATCGTCACACACTCACTGCCAGGCTGCTGCTACTGCCAGGCTGCTACTACTGCCAGGCTGCTGCTACTGCCAGGCTGCTGCTACTGCCAGGCTGCTGCTACTGCCAGGCTGCTGCTACTGCCAGGCTACTGCTACTGCCAGGCTACTGCTGCTGCTACTGCCAGGCTGCTGCTACTGCCAGGCTACTGCTACTGCCAGGCTACTGCTACTGCTACTGCCAGGCTGCTGCTACTGCCAGGCTGCAGTAGCAGCAGCTAAGAAACAGCACAACTAAACTAGGACTTGGTTTTCTAAAGGTTTGAGATGGACTAATCCCCTTCAAGACTTGAGAACTTATTAGGACTTGCAGCTAAAAACCTGTAGCCTTTCCTGGTCTACTTAACATTCCTTAGACTGGTCTTTGACTAGTCCGTTTATGATGACTTGTCCATAATTTGCTACTAAAGGACCCAATAACTGACCTGGTCTGCTCTCCTACTGACTGGACGAGTCCCTGGTTCACCTGGATCCTAAACGACTCGTTCATCTCATTGAGGCGTCCAGAATCAGAGCAGATACCTGGTCCTTAAAGACATGCCTGCTGCAGGAGGACATGGAGGACATGGAGGACATGGAGGACATGGAGGACGTCCTCCGACTCACCGGCACTTTAAACGGAGAAGAGTTGGGATTGTCGACCGCGAGGTTCTTCTCTGAGCTGCCCAAACCGGAAATACTCCTCCTCCTCGGAGACCGCTCCGAAGACACTTCTGAGGAGACGGACAGAGAGACAGAGGGACAGAGAGACAGAGGGACAGTTAGTCATATCAACCAGAGCAGCCTGTTTTTTCCTGTTTTTTCCCACTAATGTCCGTCCATCATCATCTTTATGATGGACAGAGGGACTGATGTCATTCAGAGACGATGGAGGACAAACAGGACAGAGGACGGATGGACGGTTAGATGGCAGTTGGTTCCTGAACGTCCAGCAGGAAGAGGAACCAGAACGATCTCTGGACCGTGAAGCTGAACGCTCCACTGCTGAAGGAAAACCAAACCAAACCTGCAGGAACTAAACCAGAGACAGACATTGGCTCAGATCTGACTCTGAAGCGTCCAATCAGCAGCGAGCGCCGTCGTCATGATGTTTACATGCGATGGAGGCTCCTGCAGCAGGAACGCCGGAGCTGCAGCGAACGCAGCATGCAGCAGCAGCCGGGCTGGAGGAGCTCGCCGCAGCAGGACGCTCGCTGCATGCAGCAGCGCCGCAGCAGGAACTTTCATGCACACACACACAGAAGCAGCTAGGGGGGAGGGGGAGACGCGGCAGCGGTCCCAAACGCGGACGCCATCGCCGCTCTTCGTCCCGGACACA